GCAGTTGTAAGATTTTGATAGGGAGCTACGTGTAACTCCTCTAGGTTTCTACTAGTGAATGTGTGCCTTTACCTTCACTGTTCATGACAAAGTTTTAAACTTGTGTTGTGGCCAAGGCTGGACTACTAAAGAAATTCCAGATTCCATGTTCAGACTCAATCATGCACATATTGTAATTTGAATTAATTACTTTTTTCTTACAACGGTGATATAGAATCTGCTTACAATTTATTCAGTGGAGCCTAGTATGTAAAACTGGGAGTCTATGATGTGGTATAAATGCCACATAGTACAACCAATAGAGGAAGTAAGACATAGCAGAAGGACTCTTGTGGTTGAGCTGTGTCCATACATCATTAGAATGGAAGCTAAGGCTGCAAAGCATGTGTACAGTAGGCGTGGAGTGTAAAGCATGTCTGATAGTGACTGCAAAGCCTGTTCTTCTGTATAGAACTTAGTATTTGTCCATCTGCTAAAGAGCTATTTGAAGTGACAGGCCACTGTAGCTTGGTGGTAGAGTACATGGCTTGTATGTAGAAGATCCCAATTTAGTCTAATTACGGTCTATGTCACTGGCTTTAGATGAGCCAAAGGTAAGACTCTATATACTGTAGCTATGACAAATATGTGATTCTACCACCCTTTGCTCCACTTCCAAACTTACCAACATACCTTCAAAATAGTTCTGCTTCTTTGTTAGTTTGTTTTCATATGAATAGTTCAGGATGTGTGCTTTCTCTTTCATATTTATATTGTTTATTGGTTTTGTATCTTATGTTACTTTATTTTCTTATTTTCTGTTGTGATCTTGTGTTATTTTGTTTTACTGTATTGCTGGGCATGGCCTCATGCAAGCCGCCCCGAGTCCCCTTGGGGAGATGATGGCAGGTTATAAATAAATTATTATTATTATTATTATTATTATTATTATTATTATTATTATTATTTGATTTCTGGTAGTGCTTAATTAATATTTTTAATTGTACCAGATTTACCCTACTAAAGCAGCCACTTGTCTGGTTCCTTTTGCCCCATTGTTCATTGTCTTAGTCTAAAAGGGATCATCATGTAGTAAAATAAAAGCTGCAGAGATGCTTGCATTCTTTTTGAACCCAACAAGCAGTAGACTACTCACTAACCCTGTCTGAATTAGTTTAATGTTATTGTCTCGCCAGACCCTTGAAAGTGCATGCGCATGTGTATGCAGGCGCAGATAGGATTTACTTTTCCTTGAGGCAATTTTGGAGAGACATGTTCCTAATCCCCTTTCTGATGGTCTTCTTCTCTATGAAAAATGAGTCTGATATCTCATTATAGACAGAAGCTGTGCAAATGACACTCTTGTTTCTTGTGACTTCACAGATTATTTTTATGGTTAGACTCCTACAAAAGTGGATAGCTCGGAGACTGAAACATCACAGAAGTAATTCGACTCTCTGTGCTCATGTAAATGGCCACCTGAGAAGAAAGCTGCCAACTTTAAGATGCACGTCCCTTGACTTCTGGATCTTGAGCAGATAGTGCCTCTGGTGCAAAGACCACAGTTTTTGCTTATTTCTGTTCCACTTCCTTGTTAGTGCATTGGCTTCACGAATGTCTCCAGACATTATACATTCAAGGCTCAGATCTGGCAGCCTCCTTTTTTCCTGCCCCATTGGCCCCATCTGTTTCTTCTTTTCTTCATTTCTGATTCTGATGGCAGCAACATTGTCTCCTTGCTTCCATTGCCTTCACTACTGTCATCAGTATACTTGCAGAGCTATTATGCTCTCAGTCCAGGATTAAAGATAGATCAAATGTTGAAGTAACCTATCTCTCTTGGAAGTCAGTGCAGTCTGCGCTGCTTGAGCCTAGAGAGCAATACAGCTTTTCCCAGCTTGTCCCCTCCAGACATGTTGGATTACAACTCCTAGAATTACTTCCATAGTTCCAGCCTATATTACACTATTTTGGATTTTGTACTCCAAAATATTTGATGAGTTACTTTATGTGTACACAGATCCTATACAACTGAAGAGTATAGGCTGTAATGCCTATTTCTGATGTTAAAGCTTCTGTTTTCTGTGCATGTTTATATGAATGCTTTAAGGATGAGAAAAGTGCGATTTCTCGTACTGATTGATTCTGTTCAGAGATTTTGTTGAGCAGGGCTGATTTTGCTTGTTTTTATCAATGCCTTTACTTCCATAATTCATCAATATTAGCCCATGCATAATTTCCACAATTCTCACGCATGAGATTGATATCAAGTGTTCAGATGACACAAATATCTTAAGAACCCCATTGCACAGAAGCCATATTTTATTTCAGATTCTTGCTGACTAAAATGTAGATACACAGTAAATCTAAAAAAGGTATGTAACTCATCTTCCCAGTGTGTATGGTCATAAAGGAGACTATTTACTAAAATTCAGTTCCCATATAAGTACTTAACTTTTAATGGTTCTAGTAGATGTCTTAAACCATGGGCAAGAAGACTTTGATGAGATGTGATCAAGGGAGATGCTTATTAATTGCTATGTTGGTCCCAGGAGGGACTGTGGGAATTGCCAGTTTCACAAACTTATGTTTTGAAATGTGCAGAATAAGACGTATTCCACCCCCTGATGTGCTGCTGCCATTGAAATGTTGGTTACAGGTGTAGTCGGTTAGGAGCAACTTTTAAAAAGTATTGCCATCCTGTTAGAACTTTTGCTTTAGAGCCTATTTTGAGACCAGAAAAAAGAGGCTGATTACTGTACAAAGAGGCTGATTACTGTAAGAGAGATGCTTATGTTGTTTTATACCTCCATGTTACTCTGAGCTAGAGTAAAGTCAATGAATTAATAGACCTTAGATAGAGGTTGGATTTACCAAGTGCTCACTGATTCTGTGAATTTGATCCAGTTCTGACTGGCATTTGGGTTTAGGACCTTATTTATGTTGTAGGTGTTGAACTTGGTTCCTGACACTATTTTTATAACTTGTCCAGGGTTAGTAACTTTAATCAGAGACTAAACAGTTATCTGTTGGGGCTGCTCTTGGGGTTTTCTGCATACAGCAGAGGATTGAATGCCCTACAAGAACTCTACCAGCCTTATGATGTTGGGGAGACCTGTTCAAGTTCCTACTCTGCACGGGTATTTAGTATATATTCTTGGGCTACACATTACATTTAACCTACTTCCTATTGCAATGCATTATGTTCTGAACTCAGAGGATAGGCAGAATAATAATGTGATATAAAAGTAAACACAGATGAATATCATGGACTTTAGGAGGGTAGGATATTGTTAGCAGGTACTGGAGTTTAACTCACATACACTTCTGTGAGGCACATTTTAAGAAAGGATTTAAGCTAGCATAGGTGCTCATTGAGCTGCTCTCAACCCTGTCTTACATATGTTTGAAATATCTTTGTGCATAGTACTGATTTGCCATGCTTTCAGTCCTGCTCCTGTCCTCCTGCTGTGTTTCCCCTCCTCCTCTGAAAATGTTGCTGCGGCTTTTGCTTCTCAGCAGATGTTCAAAGGGACTTGCGCTGTGGTGGGGTCTGGACTAATAGCCCCAGTGTTTAATTTCCTAGATACAGGGTTGCCTCTGGGGAAAGCAGAGGGACTTGAAAGCACAAGAAGTAGGCCTCCACGGGCCACCTCCCCCTTCTCTGATTGCCAGCCTCAAAGAAATAGCAGGATGCCTCAGATCATTAACACTGGGCTTAGAAGGAGCCTTGGGCTTTGACCTATATTTTGTTGACCCTTTCATGCCTAGGGTTGGTGTTTGGGTTTTTAACGTGGTGATACCAAGAAATGGGATCTGGGAAAATTATTTTAATCCCCGATCAAAGCTTGCCTCCTGCTCTTCTATTTTTTTCCTGCTTTCCTCAACTGTACTCACAGAAAGAACAGAGTCCCTGTTTGATTTTCCAGCCTTTTATTGTCATTCCCTTCTTGACTCATCTTTCAGTGGGGCCCTTTTGCCTGTACTTCAGGTTTTTGTTGTGTTTGTGCCTACATCTCTACCTTACATCTTCTTGGTTCTACCCTTTAGTATGAATGACTTCCCTTGTAGAACATTTCTGTATCCAGTTCCTCAGAGATCTAATTATTCTGGGCTTTTCCCAGTTTAGTACTATTGCATTCTTTGTACCAGTAAAAATATTGTGGTTAAGTCACATTTTATAACAGTTCATCATGACAACCAGTTTTCTTGATGATCTCTCATTCATGGGGTGCCATAAGTTGAATTGGACTTGATAAGTTGAAACTGAAGCCAGACCTAAATAATGAAAATGCTGAATTTGACCAGTGTGTTCAGGCAAATAGTCTTTGTTGGAAAGGGAAGAAGAAATAACTCCAGATTTCAGGACTGCCCTAAGTCTAATTAATGCATGTCTTTTTTTTTTCATTCTGAGAAGTATGAAATGCTTGGAAGCTTTCAATTCAAGTTTAGAAGGGTAAGATAAGAGCAGCCAAATTGCCTCCTTGGGCTCCCAGTACTCATTCTTGCTCTTCAGGGTAGCAGTACAAGTGATGATTCTCTGGTAGTAGTTATACGCTTCTTAGTAGGTGCCAGTCTTCACCAGCTTCATCCCACCCATATGGTGTATCATTATCACAGATGCTATGTCACCACAATGGTTGTTAACAGAGGAATGGCTACTATTTCAATATAGTATCTGGCAGCCACATCCCTTTCCCCTGAAATTTAACCTCAGAACAACACTATGACATCACATTAATCACAAAGTGTTTCATTGCAGAAAACAATGTCTACCTGCTTCTAAGAGGCATATTGCTATTATAGGCAAGGACTTCATTTCAGTTGCATTTTATCTACTAGTTTTAAGAGTCACCACATTTCCTGTATTGTGAACTAAAATACAAAATTGGGAAGTCATTTTTGTTGAGCTGTTGCTTTTTTAGCTTTACTTGTAAAGAAGACTTTTCAGCTTCTCTTCATGCATCTTTTGGATTTCTCTGGTGGAAGACATTATGTGATTGCTTGTCTTTGTCCCTTAGGTGACTCGTGTGCCAGTGGAGAGCTGTGAACAATATACAACCTGTGCACGGTGTCTGGGCTCCAGGGATCCTCACTGCGGTTGGTGTGTCTTACACAACATGTAAGTGTGCTGAATTCTTGTCATCTTTTTAGTATACCTGTAAGACAGAAAGAGAGCACGGAGTGCATCAAGAGAAGCCCCTGCTGCTGCCTACTCCTCTTCCTTCTCCCCTTCCTTTGCCTCTGTATCTCAGGTGTTTGAAGGTCTGTATAAACAGCTTATTTATTCCTGTAGTAAGTACTAATAAAGATTTCCTGTAATACACGCTGTTAAGCCATTTTGATTCCTATATTGTGCAGAACCAAAACAATGTTATTAGGTCCCCACTTTACAAGCATAAGATCTGCATAAATTGGACAAGAAATGACTTGTCCAAGACAAAGAAAGAGAATAGTTCAGGCATAACAAGCAGCATGGCACAAGGTGGAGAGGGGACTCAAATAGATAAATACATGTAAATCGATAGTAGAACTGATAAAGAGAGGTGAGCTTGTTTGGAATATATTGGTCATGATAGCACATGAAGTCTCCACAGTTGAGGCCAGAACACTGGTGACCTCTTCTCTCCTTGTTCTGTTGAGGGATTGTTGGAAGATCTGGTTAACCACTGTAGTGAACAAAACTAGATGGATTTTGAGGTTTTTTTGAAAGTCAAGCAAATATCATTTCATGATACAATGAAATTCAGAAATATCAAAATATTTCCTCTTCTAGGAACTCAGAAGACAAGTTTATGGAAACCACTGTCTCTTCATTTCAGTTGAGATGCAGTGTATGGATAACAATATTGATCTATTGTAGGACAAAACATTGCAATGGTCTTGGAATCCTTTACCTCTTTTAAAGGATTCCAAGACCATTGCAATGTTTTGTCCTACAATTGCCATTGGCCTCAGCTAGAATGACCAATGGTAAGATACTTGGGAATTCATGTCCAAAATATCTGGAAAGCCAGTGATTTGCCAGTCTGACATCTATGGTCACTATAATCCTGACAAAAAGCATATGTGATAAAATAAGAATTTCCTCTCTCTCCTTCTTGATATATGACATATTTCTAACAGAGTGCCCTGTTGTGGGAAAATCCATGCACACCATTGTGTGAAATATAGTATGATTATTTCTTTTTTTCTAGGAAAATGCAACACTTTTTACATTGACATCTCTGACTTTATAATAAACACTTGTGCAATGCTTCATTTAAGATGGAGCATGCATGTTCTCTATAGGTAATGTCTCATAGATTAAATCTTTGTTCATAAATGGTTTTCTTTAAACCCGAAGACAAGAAATTTGACCTTAAAGGAGTTGACAGTTAGTAGTGTTGTGAAAAGATTAGAAATAATCTTTACAAGGAAATAAAACCTTTGATTTAAAGTAGAATCATAGAATTGGAAGATACAAGGAAGCAAACTCAATGGCAAGGTAGGAATGCTATTAAAAAGTGACCATCAAATCTCTGTTTAAAAACTGCGAAAGAAGGAGAACCTATTGCCTTCAATGTAGGTTACTTACTGTTGGACTACTCAGACAGTCACAAACGTCTTCCTGGTGTTTAGTTGGAATTTCCTTGCTTATAGTTTAAATCTGTTTCTGAGACCTATCCTCTGGAGCAGCAGAAAACTGTTTTTCTCCATCTTCTACATGGCAGCCCTGTAGGTCTTTAAAGATGCTCCTTGTCTTTGAACATTTGCATGTACCATGTCTTTAGAGCTCTTTTGGCTTTCCATAAATGCCTGCTTAAATCCTCATTTCTTTTTACCTGCTGCTGCCATGATGTTTTTACACATTCTTCAGTCTTCTGAACCCATCCCCGCTTCCTAGATTGCAGCTAGAAACCTATTGTTCTCTCAGAGAGAGGCTGCTGGAAAATTAGCAGCTTTGCTTGGTTAAGTAGTCTGGGTACTCATGCTGAAATACATTGTGAATATTCGATATAGACTTGCATGCCTTGAAAAGAAAGAAAACAGCCAACTCAGCAGATTTCCCTCTTACCTTCTCACCGACTAATTGCTCTGTCCATTGCAGCTGCCAGAAGGCTTTCTTCTCCTGCATGTGGGCAAGAAAAGGAGGTTGGTCAGTAGTTTCCACCAGATTGCTACAAGCAGGGGTGTGAGAACCATCCTCTCCAGTATGCATACTTAGTCAGTCAGTGCCTCTGCAGACCACATTATACATTGCAGAGCAGACTGATGGCAGCCTGCCTTGAGCGGCCAGTTACCTTATGCACTAAGGGTCTCTGAACTTCAAATCTTTATGTGGCTGAGAACTGAAACCATGTTTAGCCATCCTGAAAACAGCAGGAGTTGCTTTTCCACAGCATAGATTGACATAAGCCATGTGTTCAAAAGAGAAACTCACTGTTCTGGGCCACTGTCCTGCATATTTTGAGAAATAGTGTATCTTAACAGTGATTTCTGTTTTTAAAAATCACCTCTTACCGTTTATTCCACAACCCACAGAATGGTGAAGAATGGGAGAAATGTGATGATCTCTCTGCCCTTGGATTTGAGAGCATCTTATCTTTGCCTTAACTGTGCTTTACAGAAAACTTATTTAAATCCACTCTAAACACTGTCCTAGTTCTTGACATAAAATGCCAAGGGCATTTGACGATCAAATGTTTCCTACTACGATGGTTGACAGCACCTAGCTATAGATGCCACATCACTCCCTGTTAGTCTGACTAGGAAAGAAGTCAAGGACTCCAGAAATATTCCCTTTGACAGTAGCTCTGATTTGGATAGGTAGAGAGGCCTTTCTTTTTTCAGAGCTGCCAATCCAGGATCAGTTGGCAAACTGTTAATAGCCATGGGAATAAACTGCCCAGCATAAGACTGATTTAACTTCAGATAAACAGTATGGGGGAGGGATCGTGTATTTCTAAATCTGACATGGACAAAAGGCATCCCATAGACCATATGCAGCCCCCGAGGCCATTTTGTGGCTCTCCAAGAGTTCACATGATGATAACTTACACCAGAAATGCTAATGCTGGCTCCCATGCCTGGGGGTGGGAGGGGGAACCATTGTTAGCCATTTCACTCCTTTTCAAGCATTTTTGCTCCCTCGCTGTTTAAAGAGATCCCCGCACGCCCACCCTTCCAAAAAAAAAAAAAAAAAAAAAAACTCCCAGGAAGTTTTCCTTTGGGCCTATGGCTCAATATCCAAAGCAACCTCACAACCTCATTTCACTTTATATAAGATGATATAGGTAAGTGTGTCTATTTAATGACTCTATACACAAAAATCTAGTCCTTAAATCAGGGCTAGGCAACTATGGTGTTCCAGATGTGCCCAATCTATCAACCTAATCCTGTAGGTTCAGTAGTGAGGAAGTTAGAGACTAAAAGCGGTTGTAGGGGCCACAATTTTGTACCCAAATGCTTAGTCCTATATCCTGTTTTCTACCTCTTTTAGTGTAGACTATCATCTGTGTGTGCTATTTGCTCCTGCTACTAGTGTAATCTATCCTATAACCCAAGGCTCTACAGACTGGCAACTAGACCCCATAGGACAGAAGAAAGGGAAAGGGTAGCCTAAGAGATAAACATTGAAATGAAAAGGCATGAGGGGGTTCCTTTGGGCATAGGAAGAAAACTTCCTTCAAAGCTGTAAAGCCCTGACTGTTTAGCCAAGTGGAGCATTTTAATTAAACTCAAAGACATCTCTTTCCCTGAAGCACCTCTGGGAGACGAGTGGGATGCAGTGGTGGCTGAGGAACTCTGCAGTACGATGTCAGGCTGGCACTTGCTTAGGAGATAAATCACTGAGATTACTGGGACCTTGAAAGGCGCATGTGTATCTGCTTTTCTGTATTGCCCTCTGCTTAATTAAAACACTTGCCATAATGAAATAATGTTATCGCAGATTCAGGGAGGAAAAGCAAAGGAAACTCATTTAAACAAATTAAATAGAAGTAGTATACCTGGATATAAATGTACTTGGCGGGGAGGGCCGCCCTGAGTCCCCATAGGGAGAGGGGTGGTATGCAAATAAAGTTTGATTGATTGATTGAAGGCGTGGTTGCGCCAGTGAAATTTTTGCTGGATGTGGAACTGCTTGGGAGTATCTGAAAAAGAGAGAAGTGTGATGTGTGTTTCCTTAGGGCAGAAAGGGAAGGGAAATATCACACCATCTAGGATATGTTTCATACAGAGGAGAGGGAGAGCATGGAGTAGGGAGGTATAGCATGCTAGTGCTCTTGCTAGAGCTTGAGAAAATTCCTCTGTTGAACTCCCAGTTCCTACTCTGTGTCCACTATGGGTAGTAGGAATTGGAACCCAACACAACAATTTTCTCAAACTGGTGCTCTTTAAACATAAAGGAAATCTTAGTTCAAAAATACAAGTGCCCCGAGACCCATTTGGGAGATTTATTTATTTATTTATTTATTTATTTATTTACAGTTTTTATATATCGCTTTTCTCACCCCTAGGGGGACTCAAAGCGGATTTGTGTAAGGAGACTTGAAATACATATCAGGTGTCCTCATGTCTAAGTCCAACATTGATACCAACTCACTAGATGGACTTCTCAAACTGCCCCCATTCCTGGCAGTTTGAGAAAAATGATATTCTGGCATCTACAGTTTAAGAGTGCCTTTAACTACATTGAATATATCTACAAGTGGTGGGAGAAATAGTGAGCTTTGGAGACCAAGGTCCTGGGAAAATAGATTTGGCCTACAGAAGAAAAACTGAAGAGGTGATGCAATTGCCATCTTCAAATAGCATGAAAACATGAGTTTTGTTTACTTATTAATTAAATATGTATTTCCACCCTATATTAAAGATGACTTACAAAGATATTAAAACAGGTTTCGTAATAAAACAATGCCTTTTTTTTGCTTCAGAGGATAGGATTTAAAGTAGGAGGGTGAAATTACAAGAGAAAGGATTTAGACCAGTGGTTCTCAACCTGTGGGTGCCCAGATGTTTTGGCCTTCAACTCCCAGAAATACTAACAGCTGGTAAACTGGCTGGGATTTCTGGGAGTTGTAGGCCAAAACACCTGGGGACCTACAGGTTGAGAACCACTGATTTAGACTAACCAGTAGGCCTGATATTCTGATGATGCAATTTTTCAGTAATGGAACAAATCAAGTCAAAAGATGGCAGTCTCCTTTGTTGCAGGCATTTTAAATAGGTAGATGGCCATCTAGAGAGGAGTGTTGTGGTGGCTAATTCTTTGACTTGGTCATGATTTGGACTAGAATTCCTATGAAATACCTTTTTGTTATGTGTGATTCTTTGTCTTACTTTACCGAGTTGCTTGGAAATGCATGTGAAAATACTCAACATTTTAAGTAAGTCCTTCGTTTAGTTTATAGGTTAGTCAGAAGACTTAGTAATCAACACAAAATGCAGGTACTATATGCAGTTGAAGCAAATATTCCCTAATAATGTTACTCAAAGTCATGGTTAAAGTTTAATCCAATTTGGACAAGGGAAATCAATATTTCAAGCCATTACATTAGAAATAATAATAAGGATTAAAGATTCATCTGGTTAAAAAAACCCCAAAGCTTACAAACAAAGAGAGTGTTACTTAATCTTACGAAAGATACCTAAGCCTTTAAATAACCTGATGCCAGAAGAACAAAGCTACCACCTTTTGAGCCAAATTTAATGGCTGTAATGTGCAGACCTTGGTATCTAGATAATAGTTTTCTGTGACAAGACGTTTCTTGTGACCTTTGGGTTACTATCTTCTATACACTTATTTGATAAGAAGTACAGGTTGAACATCCTTTATCTGAAAATCTGGAATGCTCCAGAAATAGTCCACATTGGTGAATGATATAATGACACCTTTGCTTTCAATTCACACAAACTTAGTTTCATATCCAAAATTATTTAAAATATTGTGTAAACAATTAGCCTTCAGGCTATGTGTACAAGGTACATCTGAAACAAATGAATTTCTTGTTTAGCCTTGGATCCTATCTCCAAGATATTTCATTACTTATATGCAAATATTGCAAAATTAAACAAAATTGAAATCCAAAGCACATCTGGTCCTAAACTGTTTGGGTATGGGATACTCAGTTTGTGTTACCAGATTCAGTTAAGCAGATATGCATAAAACTCTGCTGTAGAGATGTTATATACAATTCACCTCAAAATTGAATTGGAATTTCATGATGGGAAAATATATATGAAAAGATGCCCATCTTTTATTTTTCAGAGCTAAAATATGAGCCATTGAATACCACTACTATACTACCAAAATGGAAACAATTTTTTTCTTATGGTAATTTATAATCTGTTTTGATAGCAAAGTGTTAAATAAATAAATAAATAACATAAGAGAGATATTTACCCAAGCCTGAATCCAGTTGTTTGTCACAACTAGCTGTAGACTTATTGAATCAGTGCTATTTGCATGTATGTGGGCTTATTAGATTCACACTTACATATTTGGTCAGTAGTTCTGATTAACAATGGATTTAGTTCAAAGCCTAAACCAGATAGACAAAACGTTTTTGTGGTTGCTAGAAAGGGGTGACAAAATGTGCCCGGTTTTTTTTGTCATGTTATTAGCAGAATTTGAAAACTCTTATTGCACCAAAAGTTGAGCAGAACTAAATGACAACCATCTAGCTAGAATGACAAGTAGATCACCAGTAGGGGGAAAGATACAGGTTTTTACTGTTGAATGTTGTGACACAACGCAACATTTTTGTTCGCAGACAAAGGCCACCACAATCTCATGAATATTTGATTCTGCTTTCCCACAGCTGCTCACGGAAGGATAGGTGTGAACGAGCAGATGAACCTCAACGCTTTGCTTCAGACCTACGGCAATGTGTTCAGCTTACTGTTCAGCCAAAGAATATATCGGTCACAATGTCAGAAGTCGCGGTATGTCATTTAATATTGAACCCTATATTGGACTTGATTTGTTAACATCATCTGATAGCAGTCTTTTCCTTTAGGAAGACAGGACTAAGCTGGGCTGTGTAAAATAAAATAAAAATATAGTAGGCCTGCTGAGTCAACCCATAGATTCAGCTGAGTGCATGCTCTCCTCCACACAGGGAACGTTTTGCTTTTGGGATGTCGGGAGAGGGGAAAAGAGATTAGATTAAATCCAGTTTGCCTGACAAAACAAACAGAAAAATGTTAGAGCTTGGGAAGTAGTTAAGGAGAAAAACATCCACCACACTGCTGGCATCATGTTCCTTTCAAAGAGGGAATCCAGGCTCCATCCATCATAGGTGGGGGAAGGCAAAATGCGGCCAGGATGCACCAAGCCCAGCTGCCATGATTTCATGCTTACCCCTTCTAGGTAACATACCAGCCGCCCAGTTGAAATGCTTCTGCTCATTCCTTCATAAGGAAGTAATAGGTGGCTGGCCATACTTCCCGGTGGCAAAGAACTGACAGAAGGTGTTTGCCACCGCTAAGTCCTTCTCCCTGAAATAATAATAATAATACTTTATTTATAGCCCACCCTATCTCCCCGAGGGGACTCAATCCACCCCCATCCCCACACTTTCACACAACTCTACATTGACCATGATGGAGGCAGCCCAGATTCTTTCTTCTGGAAATTTATGGTGGCAGCAACAGGAAGGAAGATGTCTTGAGATTTTTCTGTTTGTTTTGTTCAGCACGCTTGATCTTAAACTTTCAACCCCTCTCTTTTTAGCTGCCTCACACCCAAAAAGAGAAATACACACTATGAGAATTGGAGCAGATCCTCGCCAGGTCATTCTGACCACAGTCCGCCTCTCCTTCCCATGTCTAACCCAAAGAAAGTGCACCTGGCGGCTGGGAGTTGCCACTGCCTCAACTGATCCCCTATGCTATTTTATTAATAGAGATATTGGTATTCACATTTTTGTACTACATGAGTAGGGGAACCATTGCCCCGTGGATTCCAAGGGCTCACTGTGTATTGATCGTGTTGTTAGAGTCTTTCTTTAATTGATATCTGAACAAATGTTTTTCCCTGTTTACTCTTTCAGTTGGTTCTGCAGGCCTGGAATGTCCCTGATCTTTCTGCCGGCGTGAATTGCTCATTTGAAGATTTTACAGAATCTGAAAGTCGCATTGAAGATGGTCGGATCTACTGTAGTTCTCCTTCTGCAAAAGATGTCATCCCTATTACTAGAGGACAAGGTGAGTTTGGGATGTTTTCCTAGGTGCATCTACCAAATCCTGAGCTGATGTTATGGACAGTAGATTGCTTTGAGAAAATTCTGTAGGTAATATGGATTTTCAAAAACAAACAACCCCCCCCCCCCAAAAAAAAAAACCCACATTTCAGTAAAACTGTAGTTTGGACATTTTATTTAGTACTTTGTTGTAATATAACATTTTGTTTCAAACCAATTACTCCTCAGATGATATGGAAAGGTGCCTGTGTGAAATTTTGTGGGCATTCACTGGAAATGTAAGCAGTGTTCATAAGTGTATTCTCAATGAGTGTCTCAAATGGCAAAAAAATAATGCAGAAATGTGCAAACAATCAAATAATATTTCTTAGCCGGGAAAGAAGTGTAATTACATTCCCAGTGTTAGATCCTTTAATATAGAGGGAGAACTATTGAGTCATGGGTACGTTAAGGTATATTTTCCCCTCTACTTCCTTATTTCTAGAACTATACTAGATCATGACTGCTCTGGAAGGGGTGGCCAGCCAAACACACTCTTGGCAGCCAAACCCATTGCTAGACATTTAGAGAGCATCGAGGAAGTATCATATTCTTTTATCAATAGTTGCTGTTTTTCTCAACTGACTTGATTCAAGTGCATCTTCTCAGTTCAACTAAAACCAGTCCAGGCCTTGTTCATTTTAGGTTATGTCTAAATAGTGCATTCTGTTCTTGTCATACGTTCATGCAATTCAGTCTCTGCTACACAGCTGATCTATGTGGCTGTTTGGTTCTGTTCTAGGTGATAAGAGAGTAGTAAAGCTCTACCTCAAATCCAAGGAAACTGGGAAGAAGTTTGCATCTGTGGATTTTGTCTTTTACAACTGCAGTGTTCACCAATCGTAAGTAATGCAACTCCCTTTTCACCTCCTCAGGGATTTCCTTCTTTTTCTAGGAGAAAAGTATGTGGCAGGAAGAATTAAATTGGGGGAGTGAGTTGGTGGATAGACATATGTGTACAGGATGAGACCTGGTTTAACACAATCAAGTGTTACTTGGGCTTGCAGTATTTAGTGAGCACTGGGCCATTTTGCCTTGCTTGTTCTTTGGACAAGGCATTTAGACATCAGAAGATGCTTTATGCTGAGCAGATAATCTCTTTTTTTCTTTCTCTTGGTGAAGAGAAGACGGATTCTGTTCCACAATCAGTGTCATTAGAATTGATTTAGTCAGGAGCATCTGAGTAAACAAATTCAGCATAAATGTGCTGGATCTGTATAGACAGCTGTGTATGAATATATATGTATGTGTATGCATATTTAGTTTGCTGTGTGTGTTTTGTTTACTATGTGTGAATGTTGTTCTAATGTAAATCTGTGAAAATTGGTCTGCAAAGCCCTCCTTTGTATTTGCTTGCACATTTCGAAATTTAGGTTAGAAGCAGCTAAAGGGATCATGTAAGATGATAGAATCACCACTTGGGACCCTACAGAGCTGCTTTCAGTCTTAGTAGGCAATATTGCAGGCCCAGAGTAGGAAGCTCCAGAGGGTCTAAAACCCGGTTTTCTGCCTCTGAGGACCCATTCTGGCTGCACCTACTGACAAAGTCAAGAAGGGAAGGAAAAACAAAGGAAAAAAATCTGGAAATGGCCAGGAGTCAGTTTCTGGATTTGAAAAATTGGCTTTTTCATGATAGGGGAGGGGGAAAGGTGAACTACTGCTCTTAGATGCTTCTAGAGGAGGAAGTATGTCACTTTTATGACCGGAGTAATCTGTGGAGTTTTAAGGGCAAAGTGTCACAAAAAGGGCCACACTTGTCCCACTCTTACCGCAGGTGGACAAAGAATTTAACCTAAGTATGAAACAGCTTTCTCATGCTCCTTGCGTAAGCATGCATATTGGCAGTGCAGTTTGATCTGCATGCATATGGTAGAAGTTTACATTCAGGTACAGCAGGGGTCCTCAAATGTTTTAAAAAGAGAGACTGTTGGGGAAAAACATGAATGGATTTTAGGCCTGGGTAACAACGGAAAAATTTGTTTCTAAAATCGATTTGTATTTGGGGTTTTTTTTGTTTCGATATTTAAAATAATTAAAAAATTTTCCTTTTAAAAAGTTCGATATTTACGAAATTTCGTAAATGGTAAAAAATTAACGAATCGATTTCCGAAACAATAACGAATCGATTCGTTAATGGCGGACGCGACCGCGAAATACGCTAAAAAACCTCCAAAACCTTCTGAAGCTTCCCTCTCCCTCTGTTGTTGACTGTTGGTGTGATATTATAATTTTTTTCACTAATTAAACCATAAAACTGGCCCAGACATGCGGAAATAATAACGAAACGACCTCAAAACAATAACGAAACGAATACAATATCGAAATACGAAGCATTTACAAAACGTTTTTGAAAATTCGTTTTTTAAAAATTGCTCCAGAATGGTTCGTTATCGTTTTGTAATTGAAAAAATTAACGAATTATTAACGAATTACGAATTAACGAAACGAAACCGCCCAGCCCTAATGGATTTATACACACACTGCATATATATTATGTGTAGTGCCAAAAAAAAAAAACCAATGAAAGAACAATACAGTATTTAAAATGATCAATTTTAGCAAACATAAACTTACCTGTACTTCAGTGGAAAGTGTGGGACTTCTTTTGGCTGATGAGATTGCTGTTGTTGTGTGCCTTCAACTTGTTTCAGACTTATGGTGACCCTAAATTTAAATTTTAGGGTGGGGGCCAGCTAAAGGACCTTGAAGGGCTGCATCTGACCTGCATGCCTTAGAATAATAGAATTGGAAGAGACTTCGTGGACCGTCCAGTCCAACCCCCTGCCAAGAAGCAGTTTGGGGACTCTTGATTTAATATAGCTCAAACCCTGCCTAGTATACAGTATAATCTCGCTTATCCAACATAAATGGGCCGGCAGAATGTTGGATAAGCAAAAATGTTGAATAATAAGGAGAAATTAAAAAAAAGCCTATTAAATGTCAAATTACATAGATCTTTTAATTTAGGTATCAATAATGTTTTGAATTTTTTGTAATATTCTGGTCCCAACCCATCCAGCCCTGGAGTCTTTCCAGGTTTTAAATTGTCTATAATTTCCTCAATCTCTTTCTCTGATATTGCTTGTTCCATAATTAATTTATCTCTTTCTTGGATCTTTATTTTACAATGTTTATCTATATACTCTTCAACTTTCTTTCTAGGGGCTTCATTTGCTGTATATAGCTCCTGATAGAATTCCTGAAAAATTAGTATTTTATCCTCCATTCTCATGCACTGTTTTCCATCTTTATCTTTAATCACAGTTATCAATTTCTTTTGTTTCCTAATTTGTGCTGCATTAGCTAATAACTTAGAGTTTTTATTACTATACTCAAAATACTCTCTGTTTAAATAAATCAAATCTCTCTGTGCTTTTTCAATCCCTCTTTTTTCAAGTTCTTGCCTCTTTGCTATTAATTTTGCATAACTCATTCTATTTTGTTCTGTCATATATCTTCTCTCTAATTCCTTGATTTCTGCCTCTAGTTTTTTTTCTTCTGCCTCCTGTTGTTTTTTTAAACTATTATATTCTTTAATAAAGAGTCCTCTGGCCACTGCCTTCATTGTATCCCATACTATTGCATCAGAACATTGATTATTGTCGTTTATCTCCCAAATTTCCTCTAGTTCTTTTGCTATTTTTCCTGATATTTTTTTATCTTCTAGTACTCTATTATCAATTCTCCATCTTTTAGCTAGCCTATAATTTTTTTTAATTTGTATTATGATACTAATGGGTGCATGATCTGAAATTTTTATAATCTCTATTTCAGCATCTTGAGTTTTGGAAATTAAGTCCTTTGAAACAAAGAAATAATCTATTCTCGAATAATTTTTATGCACTGAGGAATGGAAAGTAAATCTTTTTTCATTACCCTTTATCGTTCTCCAAACATCTATCAATCCCTCTCTAGTTATTACTTTATTAAGTTCTGTTATATTCCTTTCCCCCTTTTCTTTTTTTGTGGGGTGAGATTTATCCAGTTTTCTATCCATAACTCCATTGAAGTCCCCTCCTAAAATTACATACCCCTTTTTAATTTCTTCTAACTCTTTAAAAATCAATTCGTAAAATTCCTTCTGTTTTGTATTTGGTGCATAAATATTAACCAAAGTATAATCCTCCCCTCCCATAGACCCCTGAATCATCACATATCTTCCCATTTCATCTTTTTTTGTTTGTACCATGCTAAATCCACTACTATTCTTAATTATAATTGCTACTCCTTTTGCTTTCGAAGTGCCCATAGCTTTTTCATATATTATAGTCCCCTTTAATTTCAGTTGATTTAAACCTTCTCGTGATTGATGAGTTTCTTGCAAGAAAAATATGTCCCCCTTAGCTTTAAGAATCTGATTTGTAATCCTCCTCCTTTTTTGACATGATCCAAGCCCGCGACAGTTCCATGAAATCAGCCTAACTCGATCCAGCATTTGTTCTCATTTTTCTATTTCTTGGTTGGTCCTTGTTAAGAGAATCACCCCAATGTGCTAACCCCCTCCCCTCCCGCCCTTTCTCTCCCCTCCATCCCAAATATCCCTCCCCCTCCTTTCTTCCCCAAGCTTCCCCTCTCCCACCGAGCCTTGGAACTTTTTGTCCAAGGTGTGGCTTAATCATAGCCTTTCGGTGGGGGAGGGGCGGATTCACCCACTCCCGACCAGCAGCCAAACCATAACCTCCTAAGGATTCTATGTTTAATTTTTATTCTTCTCTCCAATATATTTATTTTTGTTTCAAAAATATTCCTTATTCAGTATAAAGGGTGAAAAAAAATATCTATCTCCATAACTATATCCATATCCCCGTCCATATATGCATTCACACACATACATATATATGTGTATATATACATACATGCATACACACCCATATGCAGAAACATACACAGCTACTTTTATACATATTCCCAATTATCTTCCTTATCATTTTTACATCTCAAATTCCCTTCCTTTTATTCTTGTGGGTCCGTATGTGGCTGTGGAGCCCTATTCTTGCTCTGCATCTTCTTCCGCAGTGAGGGCATTGGTTTCCAGGTGGAAGGCGGTCTCGGCTGGGGTTGGCTTGACGCACCTTCCTCTTGGCACGTTTCTCTTTTTCACCCTCCACTCGTGCCTCGTCAAATTCTGCAGCACTGCTGGTCACAGCTGACCTCCAGCTGGAGCGGTCAAGGGCCAGGGCTTCCCAGTTCTCAGTGTCTATGCCAGAGTTTTTAAGGTTGGCTTTGAGCCCATCTTTAAATCTCTTTTCCTGTCCTCCAAAATTCCGTTTTCCATTCTTGAGTTCGGAGTAGAGCAGCTGCTTTGGGAGACGGTGGTCGGGCATCCGGACAACATGGCCGGTCCAGCGGAGTTGGTGGCAGAGGACCATCGCTTCAATGCTGGTGGTCTTTGCTTCTTCCAGCACATTGACGTTTGTCCGCTTGTCTTCTCAAGAGATTTGCAGGATTTTCCGGAGGTAGCGCTGATGGAATCGTTCCAGGAGTTGCATGTGACGTCTGTAGACAGTCCACGTCTCACAGGCATAGAGCAGGGTTGGGAGGACAATAGCTTTATAAACAAGCACCTTGGTATCCCTGCTTCATTAGGAAAAATGCTGCGCTTGCAGAGCTCAGGCGGTGTTGTATTTTGGCGTCAATGTTGACTTTGGTGGAGAGGTGGCTGCCAAGGTAGTGGAAATGATCAACATTTTCTAATGTTACACCATTAAGCTGTATCACTGGCATTGGAGAGGGGGTGGCTGGTGACTGCTGGAAAAGCACCTTGGTTTTTTCAATGTTCAATGACAAGCCGAGCTTCTCGTATGCTTCTGCAAAGGTGTTTAGAGTGGCTTCTTCTGAACGC